CCGGCGAACCTGTACAATACCGCTCACAGAATGTGCAAAATTTCCGTGAATGTCGCAGAATTCCAGGATTTTCGCGAAATTTCGGAATTTCGCGAAAATCCTGGAATTCCGCGAAATTCCGGAAATTTCGCGAAATTCATGTGAATCACGCAAATTACGCAGGGCCATAACTTCTTTCCGAATGAGTATATTCGAAATTCGAAAACAGCATTGTATTTTCTCTCATCTACTGTTTTATTACGATTTAGCTTTGCATGTAACAATCACTACTGCTCACAGAAGCAGTGAGAAGCAGGCAATAGTTGTACGATGTTTAATCTGTTGTTGTATAAGGATATGTTTCGAATTCATTGTGGTTCCATGCATCATTGCCTTGCGAAGCTCATGAACTTAACCAGACGTTCATTGTGTAAGAGTTACACTAGTTTTATAAGCTAAAATGCTAAGCTATTCGACATGATACATCGTTGTAGATGTCAGATACCGTGTCCCTGACCTTTCAAGTGAGAATAACTCCCTACGGCATCACTAAGCCTTTGCTGAACGGATATAAAAGGATAGCGAGCGTGTAGTATTCACCCTTGTTACGTTTACGTTTACAAGCTTTCCAATGTCATTCCATCGTGTTCCAAACAGTTCTCATAAGAACTACAGAGTTACTTCTGTAACTCAAGCTTCAACTCTGCGACCGCTTCTACCGCGACCATCTCTAGCTCATCCGGGCAGCCGCTCCCTGCCTTTATTCTCGCGTTCACCAGCTTCTGCCATGCCCGCTCGTCTTGTTTCCGCTTCTCCTATGCCCGTTCGCCTTGTTTCCGCTACTCCCATGGCTGTTCCGGTCCACCTTATTGCCGCTTCTCCTATGGCCGTTACTGCTTCTGCTTCTTTGCCAGCACAGTTTGTTTCTGCTCGTCCTCCGCCTTTCCGCCTAATTTCTGCACCGGCTAACCCCTCCAGTTCCGCAGCTTCTTCTACACCAACGCACTTTGTTGCCGCTTCTCTTATGGCCGTTACTGCTTCTGCTTCTTCGCCGGCACAGTTTGTTTCTGCTCCTCCTCCGCCTTTCCGCCTAGTTTCTACACCGGCTAACCCCTCCAGTTCCGCAGCTTCTTCTACACCAACGCACCTTGTTGCCGCTTCTCCCATTGCCGTTGCTGCTTCTGCTTCTTTGTCGGCACAGTTTCTTCCTGCTCCTACTCCACCTGTTCACCTAGTTTCCACGCCGGCCAAAGTTCCGCAGCTTCTTCTACACCAACACGCTTTCCTGTTTCTCTTGCCCGCAAACGCCCTGGCTGTGCAAATTCTGAGCTTCGTAAACTCTTGTCAAACTCTGAAGCTCCTAATTCTCTGCAGCCATGCCCTCCTCCTTCAAAGCTAGCGCGTCTCGTTCAACTAGCTCGAAAACAAGCTACTCCAGGTCCCCTTTCACCTGCGCTTCCCTGTTGCACTGCTCGCGCAGCTTCCCCTACGCCTTCTCCCCAATCGCTCCTGTTCAACGGCTACTCTTCTGCACCAACTCGCGAAGCTTCACCCAATTCTTCTTCTCCTTCGCCTCTTAATTTGGACGACTACTCTTCTGCACCAACTCGCGAAGCTTCACCCAATTCTTGTTCTCCTTCGCCTCTTAACTTACACGACTACTCTTCCGCACCAACTCGCGAAGCTTCACCTACGTCGCCTTCTCCTTTGCCTCCCATTTTAGACGACTACTCTTCTGCGCCAACTCCTGAAGTTTCTCCTGCGACTCCTCCTCATTCGCCGCCTAGATTATACTGCTATGCTTCCGCATCAGCTCCAGCTTCACCCAGTTCGCCTTCCCCTTCTCCTTTGCCTCCCATTTTAGACGACTACTCTTCTGTGTCCACCCGCGAAGCTTCTCCTGCGCCCCCTCCCATAAGCCAATTTTCTTCATTGTTATCCACTGACACATCATCTATTTCAGAAGTCCAGAGGTTTGAAGGACAGTACCAGGTAAGTAAGTATGGGAGACACCGTGTATTGACTTACAAAATTCCAGGTAGAAGGCTATGCTATGCTTTCGCATTCCACAAGCGAAAGCAAGGCTGCTTGGTCTACAAGTGCATCTCCTGTTGCAAAGCAAGACGGCATGTGCAGATAGATGTAAGCCATAACAACAACGATGCCTCCCATCGTAAGGATAAAATTTTAGGTTATTGGTGACGATTTTCTGGAGGATCCCTGCGCCCTACCACACAACTGCTTGCCAAAAAAGGCTAAGAAAAATTTTGTTGAACGATTCATGTATAAAAAATTACAAGAAATCAAAAACGATCCCAATTTTGCAGATGCGGTGGTACGGAAGGTGTGGCAAGATATCCTCGACGCATTTCCACATATGCCTGATTTTAGTAAGTAGGCTTAGTGGAGAAGACAAGGCACGAGAATATCATCTTTAGGCTTAGAGGAAGTGCGCGAGATAATGGACGAATTCCACCAGGAAGGTTACTGCAAGCGCAGAAGAACCATACTGAAGTCAGTCCTTTGCTTGCCATAGTCACGTAAAGAAGAAAGAATTGTGTTCAGGAGTGTTCAGATGCACGATCGCCCGACGGCTTCTCTTGATGATGTACCAGAAAATTTGAGAACGCTTAGAGACGGAACAACTTTTCTTCAATTCTCCTCCCCTGGACTGTATATATACTACTCGAAAACGACTATTCAGGTCTGCTTGCATCTTCGCAACACCACCTTCAAATGTTCTTTTCAGAAAGCCGTCGAGAACGGGCTGACCGCGCTGGTAGCGGATGGTATCCATAAACTACCACCGAAAGCTCTTGGAGATGATGGACAACTACACTGTCCATGGAGTGTGTAACGGAGGAATTGGTAAGACATTTTGATTGACTTGGGACCGCCAAACACTCGTAAGCCGTTTAGATGTTCCTCTAGTGCATGTATTGACAAGAAGAATGAACGAATCAGTGTACGACAGAGTTTTCGGAATGATTAAGCAGGAGCTGACAGAATTACGTGTAGACTGCAGAAGATTAAGAATTATAATTGATTTTGAGAGAGCCGCTTTGGTTGGAATAAAAGTGAGAATTTTCATAATTAACTTGTAATCCTCTCTGACAGCCATCTACTCTAGAACCACTTTCCGGAAGGCTGCGTAGAGGGGTGCAGCTTCCACCTGGCACAGGCGTGGAATCGCAAGGCGCTGTCATTAGGACTACGGGCGGAAATGAAAGAACGTCTAGTGAGGGATTGGTGGATGACTCTGAAGGGCCTCATTTTCCTTCCCCCGCGTCTCCATCGAAGAGTACCAGCGCTATACGGGCCACCAGTACCACCAACGCATTCAGCTTATCACAAATGCGTGAGCTTCCTAGCTTACTTGCAAGAAAACTGGTATGCTGGGCCCTTCAAGAATATCTGGTACAAGTGGGGGAAGTCCGAGCTTAGAACAAGCAATATAGCGGAATCGTACCACCGGCTAGTTCGCTTGCAAATTTGCAATCTTCCAAAAGCTAACCATAGCTTGCAGAGTTCTCCGCGTTCTAATCCGAGAGCGAAACGCCCCTGTCCGGAAAACCCTGAAGTGCTTGCACGGGGCCGACAATCGTGCCATGTGTACCCTTCGAAACCTAGAGAGGGTGAGTAGGTAGCAGTCAGAAATATTTCCACTAAAAGCCGTTTTAAGGGTATCGCTCGAAAACTTCGACAAAAGGACATCCTAAGGAGAGAAAAAATCGACAGGTGCATGCAGGAACACCGTGCCCGCCTAGAAGAACCCTTCCCCTCATTTGAGCCAATAGTGAATTTTTGCAGACATATATCTCGCTTTGTATCTAATAAAGTCATTTAATGTTCACTTGTGTTCAAAGCATACTCACAATTGGTTTTTTTTCTACATCAATTTCTTCGTACACTACCTACCTACAGAGTGTCTCAAAAGTCTTTAATCCTAATATTTCCTTAGCTGCAGCTGTACGAAGCAACGCTGTCACATGAAATTTAGCAGGAATCTAGTGAAGAACCTACAAAATAATAATGTACACTCAGTTTTCGGAAAACCCTTACTTGGCCTTCACATAAGCCCTCACACTCTTGCGGTACGCGCACCGTGGCAGACAGATAGCTGTGAAGCTTGAAAAGCTTCACAGCTTTTCAAGCAAACGTTCTATGCCGCCCGAAATTTAGTGTGGAACTGAGCAAGCCGTGTCTTCCATTGATCACAAAGAAAAGTCAGAGGCTGGGCGTTGAGCCGGCGATTAGAAGCACGTTGATCTGAGAAGCACGCCTGTGCAATTTAACAAAAGTGTCAAAATGTAGATGTTAGATGTTTGAGTAAAGGGTGCGTTAACATTGCGTCGTCCTCAAAATCATAGTATTGTTTGCTCAAGAAACAATATTTTGAGAAGGTAAAGCGCAAACGGTAAGATTTTCTTGAGTATACTAAAAAATAGACGAAATACTTATATGCAAAATTTGACTGAAAAGCGAGAAATACTGACGAACTTACTACGTTGGGAAGTTAGGCTTAAAGACTTTTGGGACACCCTGTGCTAAGTCCCTACCCCCTTGTGAGGTTTTACCGAAGTTCTGAGATTAAAGATTTCTCGGCTGTATAAAGTAGAACAGTGCCACTCATTCTTTCAGAATCATGTCGCCTAAACACTTTCTCGTCTAGTAATGGTACCATTCACCACATATCAAAGCACACCCACACTTATTTTTTTCTACATCATTTTTTTCGTACACTACCTAACGGTCGACCTTGCGTTACCTAAGAAGACTCAAAAAACTTTATTAGAAACTCCAGAATGCGACCCCGGGCAATCACATTCTGGACCGTAATGTGATCAAAAAGGTGATGATACAAAACATAACGTTAACAAACATAAACAAGAACAACAACAAAATTAGTTGATGAAGCAACAAATGTTAAAAGTTAAAAATAGACTTTTTGTATTTTAGCTTTTTGATCTTGCCTTTATCTGCCCCAAGGTTTGCTTCTCCACAAGAACAGCAAGAAAATCGGGATATCCATCAAGCGAAAAGTCTCCTACTCGGAAGAGCATCAACGAGTCTTCATCAGATAAAATGATCAAAAAGATCAAAAAGCTAAAATACAAAAAGTCAGAAAGCTTGGGAACAAAACAAATGACAACAATGACAAATGACAAATGACAAATGGAATGAAAACAATCCTCGAATTTAGTACGAACTGTTTCAGCGTATGTTGACGGACTGCTAAGCCATCACAATAAAGTGGCGCACCGATAGTCAACTAGAAAATAGGATCTACTAATTATTGTAAAAAAAATAAACTGAACCAACCTCATCAACAAAGTTGGGACTTCGGCCCAGTCCAAACAACAGATAAGGTGCAGCCAGGGCTCGATGAGTCGAGGAGGGAAGTTGGCATGAAGCGCCTTTCAAAGAGCCACCCCAGCCGTCGGACACACTGAAGCTAGTGCATGCACCGCTCCAACTAACACTGAACCCTGAAAACTCATCTTTAGCATATCCGCGAAGTCTCCATAAAATTCAAAACAAACTTGGTGAAAAAAACGTGAAATGTGTCAAATGAAATGTCAAACGTGAAATCAGGGTACTCTTTATCGAAACAAGTGAGACAGATGTAAGTGAAAGCGAAAAGCAAAACACCAAAAAACAAACTCATGTGGATATATCAGCTGCACTTATTGAGACAACACCAATTAAAGCCTACTAAAAGCTAAAAACGAATTCAAAACCATGTTTGACTCACCCACTTCCTTTGACGACGGCTCACAATGCTTGCCGCACACGTTTGTGAAGACTTGCACTTTGAGGAAAGTAACATCACCTTTGTCATCACAATAAATAAAGCTGAAACAAAAATACATCGAGATGAGAAGATAACATAGTTGAATGAATATAAGTACCTGAACTTAGTGTCTCCTTCGAACGGCTTATATTCGATAAGAATGTCCAGGCTTCCATCCTCCTGAAACGGTAAAATCTGCCTTTACAAGAAAAGTTCAAACCAATGAAGAACATCCTAGAAAGCAAGCTCAAACAAAAAAAAACGCCAGCACTTTACCTTCAGATCGAAGAACGACGCCATCTTGATTTCTCCTAGCGCTACCTCCTTTGGTTGAATGAAGACGCTCTTGTTGATTTCGAACCTCCTACAAGTAAAAAAATTGAGAGGCCAGAGCGCTAAAGATATGAGTCCTTCATGTTCAACAAATTTAGTTCCATTCTTATCGCAATTTGTACAATGAACGTTGTCGATAACCTAACAATAAGAAACTGAGGGCGAAAATTATTACCAAATCAAACCAAAAGCCTCTAGCCGAGAAATAAGGAAGTGAAGCTGATCTTACCTTTATCTGCCCCAAGCTTTGCTTCTCCACAAGAACAGCAAGAAGATCGGGATATCCATCAAGTGAAAAGTCTCCTACTCGGAAGAGCATCAACGAGTCTTCATCAGATAAAATGGTCAAAAAGATCAAACAGCTGAAATACAAAAAGTCAGAAAGCTTGGGAACAAAACAAATGACAACAACGACGAGATTCATCAGATAAAATGTTGAAGTTCTAAAAACAGCCGATAATAAAAGTAGTAAATGTGGCTGTCAATTGTGATTTTAGGCCCAAAAACTTGTTCTACGTGTGGCGTATTCTTTAAAGGGCCGAGGAAATTGCACGCAACACGCCGAATGTGTAACTCGTCCGCATCCGCGACGCGCGTTGGCAGGTCATTCGCTCGCAGCAGCGGAGCGGCCAATCACGGCGTGACCTCCCGCGCGCGCTGACCTATCACACTCGTCGTGATTGGAGCGGGTTCAGAAAGGCCTACACCCGGGTTTCTTGGCACGCTGATCACGAATATGATGTTCATTTTTCACCATTCGCCCATATAGCGCGGTTACGGTAGGGATACGGTAATTGGGCAAATATTACGAATTTTGTCGAAACTTGGTACAATGGGGTTACTCCGCATGCTGATCACTATGATATCTATTTTTCGCTACGGGGCCACAATCGGGATTACGGTAGCTATACGGTATGAGCGAAAACCACAAAATTGTCTGAAACTTGGTACAGTATGATTGTTGTGGCACGTGATCACGAATATGTTATTCACTTGTGATTGGGGGTCCATTTAGCGAGGTTACGGTAGCTATACGAGCTGGGCGAAGATCACGAAATTCGCTGAAACTTGGAGTGGTGGGGTTATTTGCCATGCTGATTATGAATATGCTAATGATTTTGCATGAAAATGCAATTCATGGTTTTCAACAGCCAGAAATCACTGCCGTATTCCATCTTGAACCTCTAAGCAGCTGCGTGCGCTGTGAAATTAAAGCCATGAGTCAAGTCTCATCCATATTTTCTAAAAACACATGCACCGTAAGTGGTCTTATAGAACGACCCTTATTGCCACAAATGTCTCCGTCTTCTTAAACTTCATTGTCATTTTCGCATGACCTTTTCAACCATACAACTATCAGCATTGAGAAACTAATATTATATAGTTCCAACCGCTTCTTCACCAGAAATGTAAATGTAACAGATTTTCGCAAGAGATTTTTTCACAGAAACCAAACCATGAACTATGCTTTTTGCCAGTTTGTGATATAGTTGTAACGAAGGCAAGTTTTTGAATGAACAAATATCGAATAATATCTTTGAAAATTCATCGAACGAATGAATAGCGAATATTGGATTCAAAAATATCCAAATGAACGAATAATACTTATTTCCGTTTTTTATATTATTCGAATTTGATTACTCGAATATGAGCACATTCCAAAATTCGAACTTTCGATTATCCGATTAACCAAACTTGATCGAATGAGTATTCGAATAAACGAACAACTAAATATCATCAAATATCGAATGCAATAATTATTCGAATACTCGCATGCAATATTCGAATATTCAGTCGCAATAGTCGATTTAATATTCGAACAAGGATTTCCGAAACTTCTCAAATATTTGTATAGTTGAATTGTATAGTTGTCTTCTTGAATTCCTCGCACATTCGAATATTTGAATAATTTACCCTTCCGAGTTGTCGAATAAACGAAATATTCGAATAAAGAACACTCATCAGCTAGCCAGTGGCGGTCCCAGGATTTCTGTCCGGGGGGGGGGGTCAAAAAAATTTCTTGAATGAAGGTGCATGGAGTTAGCCACGCACTCCGAAAAGATTTTTGGGGTGCTTCTCAAATTTTTTGCGGCCCCATACCTTTTAAAACGATGAGAAAGGGGCGTGGCGTGAGCCACGCCTCCAAAAAAATTTTTCTGCAAGGCTAACTTGAATTTTTAGAAAATTTGAAAATTATATTAATTATCTACATAAGTAAACAAGTCACTTGCACATTTTTGTAACCCACGTAAGTGAATTCCAAAAATTTCGCGAACCATTCTCGGGAGGAGGGAGGGCGCCCTCCCCCCCCCCCGCCGCTCCCCCCACCCCCTCGGTCCGCCACTGCAGCCAGCCGATAGTGTAATATTATCAAAATGATAGAGGCATGTAGATAGCTGAATTTTGATACTTAAATTACCTATGTTTTGTCAAGAAAGCAGTCACCTCTAGTCAACCTATTTAGGAATGCAGCTGGGGATAAAAACAATTGGGGGGGGGAGTATGTATAGGTATTTTAGTGAATCCAATGCTTAGAGCGAAGAGGCACCATGCCGCTTGACGCGTCTGAACACGTAGGATGTAAGCAACGAGTACTCATGGCGGCAGAATTGGAACGTTGCTAAGGTGCTCTGTAGCCTAGTGGTCTAGTGATAGGCACTTCGCACCGAGCAACGGAAGTTCGAGTCGCGGCTAAGTCGCAGTGTTTTGCGATGAAGCGTGTGGTAGCTCCTCAACAACCATAGCGGCTCCGCAAGTAGCAGCACGAAACTCCGAGTTTCAGAAACGAAACTCGGAGTTAACTCTGAGTTTAAAACGAAACTCGGAGTTAACTCTGAGTTAACGCGCAGCTTTAAACTCGGAGTTTCGGCCAGATTACTACCGACCCTGATCTCTACTGTATTAAGTCAGACGATGCCTTTTGAAACGATGCTAAATAAGATCATGCTCTCATGCTTTTCTATGTAGGCTTGAGCCACAACCATTGCATTTCCCATTTTCACTTCACCTATCAGTCGAACTATATACCACTTCAAACTGGTTGTCTGCATCTCTCGCCCGTTTCCACTTCCGGCTTAATTCCCACCTCAGTCGCTGCAATTATTAACGCCGATAATTTGAGTGCAAAACAGAGGGTTATGCCCCGATGCATATCCCAAATAGCTCCAATTAAGTAATAACAGATTGTGTAATGCAGGGTAAAACGCAACCTTCTGCTTTGAAGCAAAGAAAAGACAGCTATATCTGATGGCAGTGTTTCTATAGGCTTCTATAAATTAGGAAGCTCAGGAAATTCTATTTTCCTACTATTAACATAGGTTTGTCGAAGATCGCGTACACAGTGCCTTATATGGTACCGACAACACTTGCTCATTAAAAATGGCCATGGTGCGCAAACTTGAGGAACGCGCGCTCTATGGTCATTTTCTCTTGCGTTAGCGATGTCGACATTACAAGCATGACAATTTTTCCATATAAATATTGTCAGCACCGCAGAGCCATCATGAATAGTCAGTCTGACAGGGCTGTAGTTAAATCTCATTTCTCATGTTTTTGATCGAAACTCGGCCCTCCCCCTCCGCTGGCGGTCTCCAACCTATGGTCTTTGATGCTTGTCGTCAAATTGACATTTCCTCCGCGACCTAAAAGTCCTGTCTACGCGTCCATTGTCAGTGTAACAATAAAGGAAGCCGAAATTTTCGATGTAAAGCAAATTCAATCTTTTTATATATATAAAACCGAATGGTGTACTTGTCTGCATAGGTGCGATAGGGGGAGCCGGGCTCTCCCCAGGTGAAGGGGGTCTCGGCTGTTTCCGACCTTCCAGGGTGAAGGGGGTATGTGAGTCTAGGGGGGGGGAGGAAGAGAGAAAAGGTAAAAAAGCGTGGTATGAAGAGCTCTAATTTGTACCTTATTTAGGCACAAATTGAAAAAAAAATTAAAATTTTTCAAAAAAAATTAAAAAATTTAAAAAAATTGGTTATGAAGATCTGTGCTCCTGTTTCATGCATCAACAAAAAACGAAAGCAATAATGTTTATCCCAAAAGATGTACAAGTTAGGAACAACTTCATTTCCTGCACATCATCATCAACAATATCACTATCGCTAACGTCAGAGACAACAAGTTCGCTGCCTGAAAAATCTTCTTCTTCCTCCAAAAGGTCATCGGAGTAGAAGTAGAATTGCGTGCAAAAGCGTTCTGAGTCGAAAATGGATTTGAAACTTTCTTCTTCTTTTAAGCGCTTTTGTGATTTTTTTCGTGGCCCTCTGGTAGCACCAGGAAGTCAGCAGGTAGGTGATCGGTTTCTTCATACCTTCTTTTAGGATATTTCAAAAAGTCATACGGTAACAGCCTGTCTGGACCACTTATATCAATCCTTTAAATGAAGTTTTTAGATAACAATGTGTTTAGTAGAGGTTGACAAATCTTAAGTATTTGCTTAGATGCTCTATCGTTGTACGACTTCTGCGTTGTGTTCTGATGACAGAGTAGATAGAAAATTTCTTTCTCTACCTCTGCCGTGCTAGTCGGAATGGAAACTAGCTTTGCTAGTAGGTCCATCAGATTTTTGCGGTAAGTAATGGGAAAAGAGCCAGATCTCATATGCTTTCGCAACGCGGGAAGGAAATAGTGTACTTTTTGGGCCTTGTCGAACTCTGGATTCACCTCCTCTGACATACGTCCTGTTAGCTGATTAGAAAGCTGCTCAACTTCTTCTTTAATAGCATCTGCGGAATAGCCGAAAAAAGGAGGTACCATGCTGCGCGTTGGTTTTTTTTTTCAATATCATAGGTCATATTGTCACAAGGTGAATAACTTTCAAAAGCATAAAGCACAGAGTTGGGTTCGCACTCCAGCCGGGATCTAAGCGCAGTAACTATGCTTTGTACTAACACCTTCCTTTTGTTCATATCCATGTTTGTGAATTTAGCAGCCTTGAATTCTTCAGCAACCTGAAGATCAGCAATGGACTTCCTGGACATTTCCTCATTGAAACTAGACAATCTGCTTGGATTCCTTATGCAGGAAATCAGAGAGTTTCGCTCAATTGCAAACTCTGTATCAATGTCGACAACATTTTCGTCGGCGTAAGATTCTCCTTCTGCCTCGCTGTTGAACTGGAACACGTGCGAGTCATCTGCGATTTTGTAAAGTATTCTGCCTGCCGTTTCCTCTTCAAACTGCCAACCTTTCCAAAACATTGAGGAATATTTTAATAACATGTTATTCTTCTGAATGTCTTAGAGTTTTTAATTCATTGAAACCAACCATTCTCTACAAATTAGATAAGGTGAGTCTAGAGCGTTTTCACGAAAGTGACCTTCTTCAGCACTAGGTTTACAGAGTATAGATTCCAGAAATGGGCGGGTTTTGTG